GAGAGAGAGAGAGGGAGGGAGGGAGAGATGAAAAGAACCAAAGATTATGACAGAAGACAAATAGACATTATAAATGGGAGATAGCGAACAGAGGGTTTGACATGGAACATGATGCAAGTCAGTACAAAACAGAAGAAAAAAAACCTTCACAGTTGAGGACATTCTATCCACTACGTGAAATACGCTACCAGTTCAGGGCAGGGACTGGTACATAAATCAGTGGACCTAAGTGCGTCTACATTATCATTGCACAAAAAAGAATGATAACCCACTTTGTGAAATACGTCTTATTAAGTCCTTTCATTTTCATACAGTCCGCATAAAAAATTTTCCTATCATTTCAACATTTGATGGTGCAGAGTTTATTTTAAGGTAGGAATAGTACAAAGAATGAATCTGAGAAAACTACATTTTTCAGAGGGGGCAGTTATCTTCATGGAGATTTTGGGCAAAATGTCATGCGAAGAAAAACACTATTCTCGATCGGAAAAAAAGGAAAGTCTTTCAAACCATACAAAATATGTTGGGACAAAGCTTAACTATACTATAGACAATTTTTCTTGACGCTACATAAAGAACAGATGTGAAATGTGAAAACATTTAAGTTCCTCAAAAAAATCAATACTCTACAGTTTTTGGGCTGTATCTTGAGAAAAGGCTGTGCATTGTCGTACTCTCTGGTTTCCAAAGCCACCAAAATACACCCTCAACAGAACACTGCAATACCCTCCGCCACCAATCAAAATATAAAACCATCATGATTTTTTTTTTAAAAGGGGGGGGAGAGAGGATGGGGGAGGGAGGGGTAATGCAGAAGTGTAAAAGTATTCCCTTGGTAAAAGTTGGAAGCTCAACCTTCTTCAAACACAATACTACATAGAGAACTTCTCACAAAGACAACAAAACCATAGTTCATGCAAAGGAAGCAGAGGATACTAAGAGAGGAGCATAATTTCATAAGCAGACACTGTGCTCATCTTATAATTATGGACATTTCAAAGTTTTAGAGTGTGTAATATCTGATTTTTAAATTGTACCTCTTCTAAAAGGAAAATATTCTGTTCTTAGTTATATTTCAAGTTGTCTAAACTGAAATTTACCTTCCAATTCAGTTCTTTGCTACAATTTTAGCCAGACATCTTGGATACATGATTTCATTAGATCTCATTCAGTGAAAATCAATTCACACAAACTAGATAAAAAGAGAATGGTAGTGAAGACAATAGAATATATCCATCACTCCAATACCTATGAGTAGAAAATATAAACCGGTGCTTACAAAACATAATGGCTAGTTTCAGACTATCAGTTCCAGCAACCAATACAGAATTGGCCCCCACAACAGAAAAGGTAAAAATACAAACAATAGAATTGGCATAAGGAAATAAATCCACAGATAATGGAAAAAGACCAAGGTAGCATTCCCTTTCTAGAGACCAAAGAGCAAGAGAACAAAAACACAAGCAGAAATGGCAAATCCTTCAGAGGACTTTGACAAAAGCACTTACTCTAAAGAACATATAAATCAAAACAACCTTCAAGACTTACTTAGCTGACATATCCCATCTTTTTAGCACATAATATGTGACACAAGAGACATGACCAATAATTTCTATTTAACAGCAGATGAACTTTAAAAACTATTAAAAACGTCCCTGAGGCAAGTTCCTTAAAAAAAAACGGCACATTAAAGCCAGCTAGACAGATCATCTGAAATCTATTCCAAAAGTAGGGAGACAGCTTCTTTCTTAGAATATAAATAAAAGAAAATGAGAAGTATTTTCCACTACATGCAGCAAAATCACCAATAAAATTTCAAAGTACAATAAAAAGAAGAAAAAAAATAACGCAACCTGTTAGGCTGACTCAGAAATGATAAAGGAACACTTACTGCCTGGTGGTGGCGGTTGTGCTTTGATTATTAACAAAAGAAAAACCATAATATAACAAATAATGTGAAAATCTACAAGACAAAGCATTTACCTCAACTTCACAGAATTCAAGCTGAACTACATAATTTGTTTCCTATTGTCCATTCACATACTCCTGCCTATGTTTGCAATGATGTATTTCCGTTATCTCTGGACTAAATACATTGAGAATTCGCACATGGATTTGAAATGCTATTGACTTCAGGAATACTTTTAACACAGAAAAAATTCGAAACTGCTACTGATTTCACCTCTTTATTGCAAAAAAAAAAATTATTTAAAAAGACCTTGGTTGAAAGTACACAATACATAAGGTCACTGCGTTCAACAAAAATGATTACTTCACACTAGTGCCCATATTTTCTCCGCACTGCACACCATTTCCATACTCTTAAACTTCTTCAAGTGTTTGTTTTAATGCTAAATGCCTTACTTTCAATACTATTGAATTTTGAGGTTAGGTATCTTGTGATATTCCAAAAAAAAAAAAAAAGAGATCAAAGGATTTCACCGCTCTGAATAATCCGTTTAATGTGCATCTTAAGGTCTGTCAAAATATAAATTGAATGCAAAAAAGCAAGGCAATACAAGTTTTTAAAGAAATTTGCAAGAAACATTGAACATGAAAAAGTGCACGAACTATAGTAAGGCCCCTGTTCTAAAACCACTCTTGAACTGCCAACAATGCTGAGAAGACCATACATCTGCACGACACCAAAAATTCCAGAGTAGCAACAGGCCAACCATACCTGCACAATCTTTATAACCCTTTATACTTTAGCTTATTTGACTCAAATCTCAAAGAACTCAAGCTGCTACCTAAACTCAAAAACCCCAATAAACCATTTCCTAATCTGTACAATTTACATCAACCAGGACATTTAGAAAATTAGACACCAAGAGAAGTAGCAACACTATCACCCCTAGTCCTTAAGTTCTTTCCAGCCATAGTTCTACACTAAGCTGAACATCTACGCCTTCATCTGATTACCTTCACAGCATTGTCATTTCAGTCCCAAAACAAGGAAGAAAGCTAAAGTGAGCCTACAAAAGGTGTTTCAGAATTCTTAATTAGAAAAATACAGCCAAACTTTTGGAAAAGGGCACACAAAAATCACATACAGCTATGCCAAAATCTTATACCTCACAACAACCTACTGCACAACCCTTATCCTACAGCTACTTCTTTCAGGTCAATACCTGGAACTGATTATGGATTCTCCTTCACAGCTATGCAGGTCTTGGCAACATTTCGTCCATTTAAATGTCACCAACATGACACAAGAGTATAGAAAAACATCAAAACTAATGCGCCTTTAAATCAAAAAGGCAGTATGAAGAATATAAACAAACCTAAATTTCTAGGTGGTGGGCCCCTCAGGAAGTCCTTGGGAGGTGGGGGGCCTCCTGGCACAGGGGGCCTCCCTGTTGACAGAAATAGCACAAAGTTCACCAGAGGCTGCATACACTCAGCTAAACTTCCAGCTTCCAGCTTTCCTCCAAAAAATATGTACACAACAGACCCTACACCTCCAGACAATATGTACACAACAGATCCTACTACCTCCAGACAATATGTACACTCAACAGTTAATTCCCTTTTTGACAATATGAGAATTGTCAGTTTTCCTTTGCAATGTGTTCAAAACTTTTAAAAAACCATTGTCTTCACTCTGGAAAATACAAAAGCATTCTCAATGCGCATATTTTTCTACTGCCACAAAAAAAAAAAATCATCAGTATTGTATTGTCATTCTAAATCTGAGATTCATGTATTCATACATCAGTCTAACCAGCTCTTGGAGACCTGACTAAAACATCCAACTCAACAACACACCTCAATTAAAATACAACCTCTATTAATGACCATAAAAAACAACTTCTCAAGCCTTTTAGGAACAAAGAAATAATCTTATTAAAGTGCAATGCAACTATGAAGAAGGACAGGGTATGAGGAGAAGTAATACGTAGGAGAAAACTAAGGCCTTCACTAATCCATAAGTGAAAAGAACAGACAGAGCCAAAAGACAAGAACATTTAGCAACCATAAACAGAAGATCAGTAACATAACGGCTGAGAATTACACCAGTAACAAACAAAATTATATTCATAACAAAAGACTGATACAAATAACTAATGATACTCAAATCAAATGAACTGGTGCTTATTAATTTTTAAAATGATACTACACATGTGACAAATGACATAATCATAAAAACAAATAACACAGACAGCAAATGAACATAGCAGGGAAGAAACATTTTTTTAAAATACACAAAACGAATGAGAAATTACCCAAACATATCACAAATAGATGAAACAAACTGCACAAATTAATCATCAAAAGATATTTACAGTAATAAATGAAGTATGAAACTAAAAAATATAGTTTGGGGAGGATGTCCCATTCAAAGTGAAGAGCAAGAGCAAATCTCACCTGGACCAGGGGGTCTGTCCCATTCCGGCCTGATAGGTGGTGGAGCGCGAGTGTCCACTGGGGGCATGGGACCTCTCAGGTGCGGGGGCATGCCCATACGAGGTGGCTGCAAAGACAGGAAAGTACCAGTGTCAACATCACACATTCAGTTCAGTTTGATTAAAATGTTACAGCCCTCCCAACAGTAAAAAGTCATATAGGTGGGCTGCATACAAGTTGGTTATTTTCACATGACTTGGTTTTACTTTGAAAGTCAGAATAGTTAAATTAACTTTCATGGGACAAGAAAGATAAGACTTTGTTTTCCAGATCTATCCTTCATGCACTGGTAGCTTGTAGGTGCCCTCAAGCAAACTTACCTCTACCCCTGGCGGGGGCCCTCGGGGTCCTGGTGGGCCTGTTTGGCCAGGGCGAGGTGGCATGGGAGGCATGCCCGGGGGAGGTCCTGTCACTGGAGGCAAGGTACCCGGAGGAGCAGTCGACAGATAGTCTGTGCATGCTCGCACCAGTTCTGGCAGAGACAAATAGAGGAATGTTTCACTTACTTCCATCAGGCCACTTGACAACACAAAATAAATGTTATAAGTATTAAAAAACACTCAGATAAAAATAAAGATTTTTTTCTCATTACAATCCAATTTAAATAAAATGAGAGGTGTCAAAAGTAAAAACAGAAGGTTGTGTTATTGACAGAACTCATAGTTTAGAAAATGAAGTTAACACTTCTTCAGCAGTAAGCCAAAAAAAAAAAGCAGGCAAAGAAAAATTTAAAGTGTGCAACACACTTGCGGTCAGACTATAACATTCTCTTAATGATATAATATAGTTTTTCCTGATCAAATGTACACATAATCAAAGAAATACAAATGCCACACAGCAAGTTCAAATGCCACATAAAAAGTTTCACGCCACATAGAAAGTTCAAATGTACAATAGGAAATGTTAGTGCATGATCGTGCGTAACAAGTTCAAATGTACAAATAGCAAATCCAAATGTAACACAATGGCAAGTTCAAATGCCACATAGCAAAAGCAAATATCCCCCCTCCCCTCCAAAAAAATTATTCAGCGCGAGAAGCATGTTTAATGTGCTCAAACTCAGCTGATGAAAACGAAAAGCAGTTTAATTTTAGGGTGGACTGATCACCATAAAAAATATCCTGAGGATGCTCCCGCGAAATGAAATTCTGATAGGACTTAAGCAACCAGACATCAATATGCAGCATGGCTGATGCAGAACATTTAGCGGTATGAATTTGCCTTCATCGATGAGGTTGATATCAAGCTGTTGACGAAGAGCACGGAGCGGTCAACGCTTTGTTCGATTAGTGCAGGGTCGAAGTGGACCACACCGTATGATGACATTTTGCTGTCAGTGACGAGGGTGGCCTGGTCTTTCACGACTTTCAAGTAGAGTTAATGGAAGCTATCATTTCAACTCATCCCTCTAATAAACTGTTCCAACAATCTCCACAACAAAGTATGCTTTGTATGTAACAATGCTCATGAATTAAGGCAAGCTTTAAATGGCAACTCATCAATAGATTGGGGATGAAACGTCTTCCTTTCCCCCTACACAACTTTTCTTAACATCTACAAGAACTCGTGTGAATTTGAAAATACGATTTGAAACCGAGGCTCGGTGAAGCAAAAGACCAAATACTCACTCAGCTGACCCATCAACAAAGGATGGTTACACTTGCCCAGATGATGGAACAAAAAACCCTAGCCATGACTATAGTGAATATGGCAGCAGCCTTCAGATCATCAAGGCAAATCTGTGCCGAATCTTGTAGAGCAATAGTATTTTGTGTACATTAGGCTATCAGACCTGTGATCGTGAAATTCGGGTTCGGGGTTTCGAGCCTCAGTTCAGTCCGGCGTTGTGTTCTTAGGAAAGGTACTTTACGAGAATTTCCCGTTTAGATCGGTCCTTTCGGAGACAGAAGTTGGTCTCGGAGGTCCTGCCTCTTAGATAACCAAATGTGGCACGACGTGGTGGAATCAGGCGCTCGTCTATTTTTTGGTTTATGGGATTACTGGTGTCATCTTAAAACCTGTTTATTGGCCTCCCTTTTGGTGAAAAAAATAACCGTCTATGTTGAATAGAAGTCGAAATATTTGCGATTGAAGGAGGTGAGGGTCGCCTGTTTCAGAGGTAAAATTAGTGAGAAAATGACTGCCACAGATTAGTTATTTCCAAAGCTTGAGAGTCTGTAGAAACTGAAAATGTACGTTTTTTGTGCTTTCCATCAACGTTTTTAGTAACATGCACACTGAAATGTGTTCTTTAGTGGGCATGATTGGTGTTGAGCCAAAAAAAATAATATTCCATAAAAATCTACAAACCCGCGAAAAAATGCCAGTTTCTTCACTCTGATTATTTTGACGAGCGCCTGATTTCACCACAATGCTTCGCAAATAGTGCTGATAGGGGCATTAAACCTATGCCATTTCAACATTGAAAAATTATTTTTTGGGAAATACAATTTGAAACATATGTTCGCTGAAGCAAGATCACTCAGCAGACTCACAAACAAAGAATGGTAACACTTGCTCAGTTGATGGAACAAAAAACCCAAGCTGTGACTATAGTGAAAATGGTAGCAGTCTTCAGATCAATACAAGCCTATATGCTACAGTGTTTTGTAGTGAAACAATAAATAAATAAAAGTAAACTTGGCTTTAGATTTGGCCCAATTAGTTCTATACACACCAGCAGTTTGTTGATTTTTCATACGTTTCTGTTTATACATATGGGTTTATTCTTAAAATTTAACAATTAGTTTCGTTTCATGTGATTTCTTCCTTGTGGCACCACACGGCTAATATATAACTTTTTCGTGGCAAAAAAACCACACAAACAAACCCTTTTACTTCTTACCTTGATACACTTCTTATTCTTTTAGCCTCTTTTTACTCCAGTTAGCATATTTACATTTGAAATTGCTATGTGGCATTTGAATTTGCCATGCATTACATTTGAGATTTCTATGTTTACATTTGAACATGCTATTGTTGTATTAGGACTTTTTATGACGTCATTTGTGTATTTGGATCTGCTAGGTGTAATTTGGTCTTTCTATGCGGCATTTGAATTTGTTATGTGTATATTTGAATTGAAAAAGTGAACATCTATAAGCCCATACGTTGACCTAATTACATTGTGGTTATCTGTCATAAATGCCCCATGCCAACCCACACACTGACACTGGATATCTAAAAAGTTGTCGAGTCAACCTAGACACCGTACTGATCATTATAAAATCTTTGTTTTGACTAATGTGATTATGTTAAACGTCTTGAGTTGACCTCGACCCTCATTATGGTCATTTTATACGGTCTTTGTGAGGATCAAAAACATTAAGTGTGGCCATCTTTCATTTTCTTGTGCCAACGTTTACACTTGGTGTGCATATACCTATAAATCCTTGCATTCACCTACAGCTTAGAGCTGTGAATGTGATCCCATAGAACTTACGAGCAAAGTTAAGCGGTGGCGGTGCCCCACGGGGCGGAGGTCCTGACACAGATGGCGGCGCACCTGGCCTTGGGGGTGGTGGTCCACTCAGGCGTGGTGGAAATCCTGGTCCTCCTGGAGGGCCCCCTGGAGGCGGGCCGCGTTTGTCTGTGGCACACACATGAGACAAATGAAAATGCCACAACAATATGAGAACAGTTTGACAACAAGACACGACAAACACCATTTTCAAAGTCTGGCCAAAACCTGGACCATTGTATCTAGGCGGGTGAGGCACATTCCAGAGTCAACTTCTTCTGTCACAAAACAATTCTTTCTCTGTAAATTACAGCTGTAAGTGATATGGTTGGGGGGGGGGTTTAATGGGATAAAAGCGACCGACCTTTCCTGACAAAAACATTTCATCATATTCTCTATGCCCCAATCAAGTTTTGTCATTACGTGATGTGACTTCATCCGTAGTCGACGAAAGTTTATGGGCAGTTCTTTCCTTTCCTCACTATTGTACGTCATACAATAAGGCACAACGTTTCTCATATTTAAAAGTTGCCCCTTTGTGTTGAAAGTAAAGCATAACATTGACCTTGTATTACGCTTTGAAGCTGAACGATAAAGCTAAAATACTAACATGCATTTCTGCAAGTGCTTACTCTCCTGAGACCACTTACCGTTTCTATAATTGCCATTTGGTGCACTGTCGCGACCAGGTGGTCCCCTGTCGTCTCTGCGATCTCCATCCCCAGGTCCTCCTGTCTTACGAGCTTGAGCCTCAAACTGGTTCAATGCCTGCTTGGTGAAGTGGCTTACTTGGGGCACTTGGCCATGCAGCTCTTTACGAGGCAGTCGGTCAAAAATGATGCGTGACGACTGCTCAGAGCCAACGATAATAAGAGCAAACCTGGGCATGGTGAAAACAGAACAGACAATGAAACATTTTACAAGTCATCTTGACAACCTATCTAAAAAAACAGCCTGGTGGAGAAACACCACTGAAAAAGTACACATAAGCTGTGCCACACATAAAGACGATGCTGGAGTCCCTCACAAATTCATGTAAAAAATAAAGACATCTCATTTTTAAAACTTTCTCAGTCAGTTTACAGTAAATCATAACTTTGAACTTGAGGACAGAGTCATGGACGTTTGATATTGTTAGCACATATCCAAGAACAGGTATATACACATCTTCCAGTAGTCTGTTGCACATCCAAAAGTACATTCTAGAGCACATCCATGAATACATAGCCCAGCATATATCCTTTATACAGACTGGTGCACATTTTTTGTTTTTAGTGAAAATCTTTGAGTGTTAGTGCATGTCCAGAGTAGTCTAATTAGCATCTTTCAGTAGAAGTGCCACACATAAAGACGATGCTGGAGTCCCACACAAATTGAGGTCAAAAATAAAGATTAACTTTTATGTCATTTTTTAAACTTAGGTACAGGTTAGGGCACTGAGCACAGGGAATTGTGAATATTCTTACAATAAATTACAAGGAATAAATTGAATCTCTCACCCCTTAGATTGTCCATTGGCTCTGTTTTCATAGAACTTGATCTCTAGCAAGTCAGAGACTCCAATAGAGCTCATTGCATCTGTCAGATCCTGGTCTGTTGTCCACTGAAAGCAAATATAACAGTACATTAATACAAAAAGAAGCTTCATAAGAAGTGAAAAGTCGACTTAACGGAAAGAAATTGAAAATCACCTGATGAATGTTGCATAACCAAGTGCTGTCCCTTTTTCCAATCATCCACTCCATCGCCTCTTAATTTCCACCCAATGAACATGACAATGTTAACATGCAGGCATTAAAAATATAAGAAATTACTGGTGATTCTGTGACACTGTATTATTCCTTCCTAACCCCTCACTCCCCCCCCCCCTAAAGTGGTTAAATTGGCAATCAATATTGTCCCCTGAAGAATGAGAAATACAAATAACCAATAATTGGTCATCCTTTCCAGGTACTTTCAAAGCTTATGGAAGTAAGAAGGAACAGAAATAATTACACGCAAAATACAGAGGCTACAAAAAAGTTGAAATTTTACAAATGCTCTAGATTAAACAGCTAGCAATCTACTTCATCGTCAAGGCTGTTTTGGTCTTCTTATTGGCTAACAGTAAAGGTGTTACCAAGTTAATTGTGTTTTAAAACTAACATTTCCGGGTGTAAAAACAAGCGAAGACAGAAATAGAAACAGTTGCTACTACATCCACAATCCAGAAAACGCTGTGCATCAGCACAAATAGTTGGGTAGGCCACCATTTGCCTGTGTCGCCATTCTCCGCAAGAGTCCCTTACCCATGTGAGGTTTCCTATGTACAGCATGTGTTTTTTGCCTGTATGGGTTGTCGCCGAGGTGGAGGGCGGCATGGAGGTGCTGTTGGATCTTGATGGAGGTTTGTTGCTCGTGGAACGCTCTAGGGGCTGTAACAAACACACTTGTCTCATTAATGAAGGACTAACAACAAAAAAAGGAACACCAATGTTTTAAGATAGTCTGGGCTCTAAATTCCTGCGGCTTATGTGTATTAAAAGCTGCCCCATATGAAGGCTAATAAATCTTAAAATACTGGCTTCAAAAATTAATTTCAACTCTTAAATCTGAAAATGTTAGGAAAGAAAACTCATTGTGCCAACAAAATAATAGGGTAGAGAAACATGACTCAGCTTATTCATTCATGAGCTCATAGGCATAGATCAGTGTTATGAACCAACTGACATCTGACCACTACATTATATTGTGGACCTTGACATTTCACAAAGTCAAAGAATCTAAGCGACTAAAAACACATCAAGAAATTTTGGAAAGATCAACAAGATTCAAACCAGACATAAATATTTCCATTGCTAGCCTTCAGGAAGTCAGCATTGACTGCTTTAACCAAGCAGTATTAGAGGTGCTCAACACCCATGCAGATTTGGTGAACAGAAACACACACAGACCTAACTCTCAAGGACATAATGTAATGATAAGCACTAAATTAATTATTGGTGATTTTAAAAAAACATATTATTCATTCACATACCCCCCCCCCCAATAAAAAGTGGTCAAATAAACATGTCAACACACTGCCCCCAGAACAACAAATAAGAAATACCAGCAACAATGATTTGTTGTTTCAAATGCAGTGAGTAAACTTTAGATAGTAAAACGTCATCTATACCTACTGTACTTCCCTGGTTATTTTCAAACAACATGGAAGCAAGAACAGAAGGAACAAATGATTAAAAGCAATAAAAAAGTTGAAATTTGACCAGTGCTCTACAGCAGACAACTTATTGTTCACTTCTTCATCAAGGCTCTTTTGATAGTCTTATTGGCTAAATGTAAAGTAAGGGTTACAGTGTTAATGTGGGTCATTATGACAGTCTTCCAGGAAGTGAAACATAAGAAATGATAGAGTGAAGAAATAAGACTCAGCTTAATGCTTATTCATGAACACCCATACAGTAAGCAGGGCATACGTGTTGATCAAGAAAAATGTAAATTTGCAGTTTCAAAGGACACTCTAGCTTTGGAAGTATTCAAACTTTGGCCATCATTATCACATTAATTTTCCTTAGGAACCTCCTTCTATCTCAAGTACGTTTTAAAGATACATAATACATGGGTATTTGTTTCTTCAAAAGCATGACAAATTCATGGACATGCTTTGAGATGATACAAAGAACTCCATCAACAAGCTGAGGAATCTCTGTGCCATGACACATCATAAATACATGTTGTAAACTTTTCAACAGCAAAAAAAAAAAAAAAAAAGATCAACACATGCAGCAGGTCAAGATGGAGAGTACTGGGTAAGTAATTCGCCCTCCAAACCTTGCACAAACACTTTTCTGCATTCAATAAACAGAACTGACATGCAGCAAAAGATCTCTCCACTTGGCCTCATTCTCATAAATTATCATTAATCCAGCATGAAAGTACATTTTTTAACACTAGAAAACAGATTTGAAATACAAAAACTGACACAAGACCCTCAAAAATGTATCTACATACTTTAAGCACTAGTTGGCAACTATGCATGGATCAGTCTTACACATATCGTACACACTTGTGAAAAAATAAAGTGGGGCGTGTGGGTGTGCTGGACCCTCTAGAAGTCAATAATTGTGGAAATCCATGAAAGAAACAATATATCTCAAAAGACGACAGCAACTCCCATCATCTTTGGGCACACAAAGATGTACTTTAACACTATCATTTGGATGTCCATCCATGTGAGCCCTCCCCAAATCTTGCAATGACCAGCCAACTGTCTCCTCAAGAGGTACTTTGTTTATTTTTTTGGCATGATCCTACCAAGATACAAGAATATTCACAGTAACATGTAAGCAGTTTGTAAGCATCATTCTTTCAAATTTAAAGTGGAGAAAGATGAAATATGTCACATATGTTTTTCTCGAAATAATACCATCAACATAGTATTTTTAAAAGCACAACTTTTCCTACCCCAGCTCAACCAAATAGAAATGGTTAAATGTCAATAGTTAATCAAACAATACTAGATAGAGCTGAATACTTGTAATGAAATATAATAACCTCATCTTAATAAAAAAAACTTTTTCAAACTTTCTTACACTTACCTCATCACTAGAGCGATTTGAAGAGGCCGTAATAACATCATCATACAAATCTCCACCACCACCAAAGTCCGCTTCCTGTTTCAAAACAAACAAAAAAACATAAAAGAAATATATCACTGACAATGACATCATAATGTAAAACTCAAGAGGTGACATCTGGATACGAAAAAACTCCAGAACTTTTCAGACCCTGTTAAAACTCATAAAGGGGAATTCAAAATTTATAGATCACATGTGTGTGCGCCTTGACAAAGGTACCAAAAGTCGTCCCATACTGTTTCCAGCTTCAGGCTCATATTGACAAAAATCATTTTTTTGACCAAAACGTGTTTCCATTAAAAAAACTGATAGATCCATCATTTTTTTTAGGAAGAGGCTAGCCGTACTTAATGACGGCTAGACTGGCAGTCTAGCCGTACTAGACTGGTTGGCTAGCCGTACTGAAGTACGGCTAGTGCAGTCTAGCCGTACTTATTCTAAATATGATGGCTAGACTGACCATTTTTTTAAAAATAGGCCTACTGAATTGTAAATATAAATTTTTAGTGTGCAGTACCTAAAATATTTGTATCTGAGACGAAACCAGGTGCCTTAATGACAGTGCATGTATTTTAAACCTCCTGTTTTCTAATGTTCATTGGGCCTAAGATAAGTACGGCTAGACTGGCAGTCTAGCCGTACTTAAGTACAGGTAGACAGCCAGGCTAGCTGTACTTAAGGACGGCTAGACTGTCAGGCTAGCCGTACTTAATATTGATGGCTGAATAGTAAATGAAATTTTTAGTTTGCTATGCCTAAATTATTTGTATTTCAGACAAAACCAAAAGGTGCCTTACTGGCTTGCATGTATTTGAACCTGAATAATTGCTAGATCTAGATGTAATGAGACCTGTGTACTTAACAGGCTTGAGTCGAAAGGGCCAAACCTAGATCTAAGTACGGCTAGACTGGCAGTCTAGCCGTACTTAAGTACGGCTAGCCACTTCATCTTTTTTACACTGTGCTCAAAGGGTTTTCATTAAATTGACTTCTAAATTTTTTATTTTGAACATTTTGATGGTAGGGTATAATAAAACCAAATAATGAAAACTGCTTTTAAAAGGTGCTCAAATCTATTCTTGAAGCGTGTTTACTCTTCCCTGCTATGTCTTACCATTGAATTCCATTCCTGATATTGATGTCAACTGAATGCCAATTTGGAAATGAATTTCCATGAATAAATACATTTAATAGATTTATCAAGAGGAGACCACCACTTTAAGAAAAGATGAGGAGGAAGAGATTGTTGAAAGGTTGAAACGAATGTCCAACTTGGATTTGGAAGGACAAAGGATGAACTTTCCACCGCGAAGACCATGCTGGATTACAGAAGCAGGACGACCTCTTTCGTGAACAACAAGCCTTTGGAGAAGTGGTTCTGCCTCTTCAAGCAGCGTCACCCAGCAATTGCCTTTCGCAAGCCCCGCGCTTTTTTAACTGCGGAGATGTTGGAACAATGGTACAGTCAGTTTGTTGCGACCCTCAAGGACACTGATGCCACCATCTTGCTGGAACCTGAGAGAATATTCAACTGCGATGAAAGTGGATTTTCTATTGATGCCACCAGCAACCATATCCAGGCAGATATGGAAAATAAATATACCTGATATCAAGTTGGGGCCATGATAACTACTTGTGTGTGCCAGACTGCCAGTGCTGCTGGTAAGTTCACGAACCCGACGTTGATTTACCCAGGAGCTCAGTTTAGAAGATTCCAGCCACAGGATGTCTTATCGCAAAGCTTTGTGACAGTCCGTCCTATGTATCACATGTCTCCTTCAAGCAGTTCCACGAGAACAAAGAAAAAGAGGAGGCGGCAAAGAAAAGGGCACAGGAAGAGAGGAAGGCAGAGATGTTGAGGAATAGGGAGGAAAAGATGAAGTAGAAGTTGGAAAAGAAGGACAGGAGGAAGCGCCTGGAGAGAGAACAATTTAGAAAGCCGAAAGGATGGAAGAGAAGAGGAAGGAGGCAGCAATGAAAGGGAAGGGCAAGAAGAGGAGAGTGGAAGAAAGTTCAAGTTCGGATGATGATGAGTAGTGTATGATGACAGGTCGGATGTTGAGATGGATATGACGATGACAGGTCGGATGTTGAGATGGACATGACATATCCATCTCAAAATCCGACCTGTATCATACACTAATGAATGAGTTGTGTTGTGTGAATGATGTGGATGAAAGCGTAGGCTCCTAGATCTGTATGCTGTTTAATTCAAGTAACAGGGACCTGGACGGATGGATTGGGCGCGAATGTGGGAGATGGTATCACAAAGGATGTACAGGTGTAAAGACAGAGAGAAGATACTGGCGATTAGTGAGGAGACCAGTGAATTCCACTTTGTGTGTAAGATGTGCGGGTGTTTGTAGTGTGAGACCTTGTTGTATGAATGTTGTTCTTGAGTTTGTAATCTTTTCTTTTACTGTTCTCCCAGGGACATGGATGGCCTTTTTCTTTTGCAAGCCTGTGTTGCTAATAAATTGTTTTTTATTTAACATGAACATGAAATTGTTTATTGCAGACCTGCCACTCTATGAAATCTAAAAATCAGGATTTCTGATTTAAAAAATCAGGACCTGGTGAAAAAAATCGGGATCAACGGCAAATCAGTCATAAAGGGCACTGGCGAAGGCGCGGGGGGGGGGTCCTGGTTCCCTTTTAAGAGGCAAGTATGCAAGGCAAATCTTTTGCAGGAAAAAGTTCACGTTTGGGCCTCTAAATAGTGGGAAAACTGAAAGACATCATGTACTGGAGTCGAAGTTGGATAGACTGGGGGAGCGAAGATCGCAGTGATGCTGAAACACTCGTAGTCTTGAAAATAGCTGACACGTAACTCTAATCATCCACGCAAAACGCCCGCGTTTTAACAACGTTTGACTTCCATCACATCGAAAAAAAGATCGCGTCAAGGTTGTTCATTTTTTTTCTTATTCCTTTCCCCTTAATTAGTACGTGTATCCCACCCCCTCCCCCCGGCCGTCCACATTGGTTAAGTCCCGAAAATTATGAAAAACACCTCGACCAACGCGACCGGTGTGAATGAACTTTGTTGACCCCAACAACCGACAGTCCCCGACACACGCGCTACTCACCACACGTACAAGGTCATGTCATGTGATGCGAATGAGTGTTTGAAACTAGGTCGATTTTAGTTTAAATAATGTGCGTTAGTCATCTACTAGATCTAGATTCGGCATAGATGCTTTAGAAAATAGCGTTCCAAGTTCCTTCAGATAAAAAGTCCAATCGGTGTTTCCAAGCAAAAGAGATTGCAGAACTTTTTATTATTTTTTTTCTGAGAATCGGACGCAACAGACGCAACCACAAAAAATCAGGATACTGTCGATCGAAATTGGGAAAATCGGGATGCTTGAGATTTGGGGTAAAAAATCGGGATATCCCGATTAAATCGGGATGAGTGGCAGGTCTGTTATTGGTCTATTTTGTATAAAAAATGTACGGCAGTCGTCTTTGGACTTTGGTGAAGGAAATATTCTGCCAATTTCTGGAACGTCTTTCAAGCTCCTTAGAATGCTGGAATCGAACCCCAAATTGATCAATGCCCTGGCAATAAGGCCAATTGAGCCTAATAAGTTATTTATCAAATGAAAAAACAAAGAAGTGAAATAGTATTTTTTAACATCCATGAAGGGCAGCCGGTTTGGCCAAGATGGGTGGCTGGTTTGTCCTTTAACTCTAGTCCTGTGGGGTTAACCGGAAGAGGGCTCTTATCGATCGATGACCCACTTACATCGCCCGCGAGCTTGTGCCGCGGGGCGCCGGGGTCAGACACCGGTCACGCCAACATGCCGCAGCAGTTCAGGGAAACACCTCATCTTTTATAGCAAACTGAAACGACCAATGAATAAGTGTTACGATCACATGAATAATCCCATTACCTCCTCGTCGATTGATCAGAGACGCTGAGATTGGTTTGGAAGTTACACCAAATCGAATAATTTTTCCAGATTTCACACCTAATATGAATGAACTTGCGAACAGTTGCTTATCAGTTATCTTTCGAAAGAGGAAAAAATGGGATAAATTCCGAATATTTTTTTTATTCAGTTGCTCTCAAATTTCTCCCTCTGGTAGGACAATGGTTAAAAAACCACCAAATACGATTATTTACATCAGGAAAAAACGTTTGGTGTAAGAATTAGATCGTTTGAAAAGTGAGGAAAGGTGTTTGCATTGAAAGATGAAAGTCTTATTTCCAGAATATCCTTTCTCGAGTCCCTCAAGTGTCTAACTGGGTCAAAATGCTCATATTTCATTGGATGAACGTCTCAACTGACGCTTTGTTATCTCTACCAACGCCTCGCGTTGCAAAACAATGCAGTAAGTTCCAGATGGACACACAGGCACAAGCAGACTGACGCACACACATTTTAGCACACAGATGCAGACCCCGCATTGAACGAAATGCGTTGCCCGCGCGGGACGACGACTGATCAGGGACCAGCTGTGGAGTGCCGCGTGGGATTGCGCTTATCGGGCAAACATTTATATCAGGGACCAGAATCTTAAGGGTTAAGTTCCAAAAGTGGCCGGATTTACCAAAATGACACAAAGATTATTTTATGTGCAGAATATGAAGAAGACTGATAGGATGCAAAATCTGCTGGTTCACCTGAAACCAGCCACATGCGGCTTACATTTTACGACATCCCTTTCCAGTATTGATCTTATTTCTGGCCAGCAGTCTTCATTTCTCTGACGAAGTGATTATTCGGACTCGAGTCCGAATATGAAAAAATGTTATTCGGACTCTGATTTTTGTCCAGCATGACATCACTTCCGACTTTCTGTGACTCGTGAATCCGGCTTCCTGTCCTGCCTCACTCGTGACTCGCCTCAGGCTGGGTAGAGACCGGGATCACTTCGGGCAAAAAGGCGTTTTGTGCAGGAGCCGAGTTTTAATCTTATGATGAATTTGAGGCCGGCCTGAAAAGTTATAGCGCTTCTAATAAATGTTTATTTATCAAGAGGTCATCAGAAGCAATTAAAGATGGCTCGTTAGCATGTGTCGGGGTCGG